TGCTTTTGCTCCGGACGGAGCAAGCGTGATGTCCAAATCGTATTTCACCGTTTGACGTTTCGTTTTTTTTTATTTATTTCTTTTTTTCTTTTTTTTTTCATTCTTTTTATTAAATAATTTTCTAATAATTTTCATATTAAAAAAAAAAAAAGTGATTTTTCCGACAATGAATACATAGAGTAATTATTTTTTTTAAATTTAATGGGTGAGACATTTTAGGATATGTTACTAACAATTCTTTTTTATATACATTTTTTTTTTTTTTTTTTTTTTTTTTGGATTCCATTCTGTAATTATTATTATTATTATTATTATTTTTCAAATTTATTGTTTTTTTTTTTTTTTTATAAATAATATTAAATTATGTTTGATTTTAATGTCGTTTACAAAAGGGGAAAAAAAAAAAAAAAATTTATCGTTTAGCTTTAATCTTATTTTTATAATTAATCATTTTGCTTTGCCATTTTATTTTAATTATCGGCTTTTTTTTTTAATGTAAATAATCTATATATTTTTTTTTTTTTTTATTATTGGAAATTAAACAAACATTATTTTATTATTCATTCATTTATTTTTTTTTTTATTGGAAAATAATAATAATAATAATGAAATGACTCCTTGCACTTTCGGTTTTTTTCTCCCCCTTTTTTTATATTTTGAAAGCGAAAGTGCACACTATATATGAAAATGCACAATTTATATAAAATTGTTATTTATTATTATTATTATTATTAGTTTTAAATTTTAATGATAATGATGATTCATAAATGGTTGTTTTAGTTAGGGGTTGAATTGTGTAAATAATAAATAATATTCATTGTGAATTTTAAGGTTTACATAAATAAATGTTTTACTTTTAATTATAACACAAGATATATATATATATATATTAATATTTATATAATATAATAATATATATATATATATATATATATTATATGGTTTTATAAACTTTATGGTTGCAAGTAATTTTTTGTGTGTTAACATTGTTTTGTTATTAATGTATAATTTCAGTTACAGTGTTTTATCATGATACATTTTATATAATCATGGAGAGAAGTTGTGCAGACTTTTTGTTTTTTAAAGTTTATTTATACATAATATTTTGATTTTAGATGAGCGAGAGCGTCTTCACAGGCACATATCCAAATCGGCAGCAGATCTTCCTGAAGAGATACAAAAAGAAGAAATAACACCACAAGCTTCTTCTGTTCCCTCCAATTTTGCACAAAGTGTGCCTCAACTTACGGTAGCTCAAAAAACGCACAATTTTTTCAGCACTTTGAGAGTGAGTTTTTGAATATTCTTCAGTACAACCAATAATTAATTAATTATTAATGTTATAGTAATTGATTTAATGATTTTTTATAGAATCGTTGGTGCAAAAATAAAGAAAGGAAAAAAAGAAGATTAGGAGATGATTTTATTCAAAAAGATGGTGCAAGCACGGATTATGCTGCTGATAATTCATCTGATCATAGTAGTTCTGCGACTCAAAGTCCACAACATAGAATAAAAGCTGGAAGCCATGCTTCAGGTTTGCACTTTTAATAAGTTTTTTGTTCGTTTTTAATTATAGCAATAAATAATAAATTGAATTTTAATTTTTTTTTTTCAGATTTTTCTCCGCTGTCAAATGTGAAAAAAATCACAGAAAGTAATAAATTATTATTGAATGCCCCAACTTCCACGTCTCTTCCATTTGAAAATGCCTTACCGACCCTTCCACTTTTTATGGTAATTTTTTCTTTTTCTTTTTCTTTTCTTAAGCTTTTTAATTAATAATTTAAAGCTTTTAGGTGCGCATTTATTTTCTATTTAATTATGGAATATCCATAAAATTTTTTCGGTTTATTACATAATTGAAAAAATTTTAAATTAGGCCATGATGATGGTCTATGAGAGTTTTATGACCTGAGATTTATCACTATTTTTGTTTGTTGTTTGTTGATTTCCTTTTTCAAACTCAACCTCATTTATAACTTTGTGCTTTTTATAGACTAGTAGCGAATGTAGAAAAAGAGAATCTATTCTTCGGCAACATTCCTTTTTTCAACTTCGAGTTCATTTAAAAAGAGGTGTCGATCTTATTGCAAGAGATAAAGGAGGCTAGTATTAAAAAAAATTATTTTTTTTTTTTATTTAAATGTTTTTTTTATTTCATCGGAAAATAATAATAATAATAATAATGGGTAATAAAAAAAAAAAAAGGGGGGGAAGGGGAAGCCGTCATTATCAGGTTTACGAAGCATAAAACCGTAACGGCAACAAAAACTTGGAACAACAACTTGAATTCATTTTGAATTTTAAAACAAAATAATAATAATAGTTTAAATGTATTTTTTAAATTTATTTATTTTTATTTATTTATTAAAAAAAAAAAACTAAAATGACGTAATACGTTTATTTTATTCAGGTACGAGTGATCCATACGTTAAATTTAAAGTTGGAGGTCGTTTGTTGTACAAATCAAAAACAATTTACAGGGATTTAAATCCATATTGGGATGAAACGTTTACAATACCTATTGAAGACGCCTTTGCTCCCGTCCATATCAAGGTTATTTATTTTCATTTTCCCTTTTTTTTTCCCAATTTATTTATATTTGACAAATTTTTCTTTTTTTTTTTTTATGAAAATAGGTTTTTGATTATGATT